ATCCCCTGGATCTGCCTCTCGTGCGGATCCACGTGTGGAGGTGCCCTAGTGGCCCTCTCTGGCCCGGAGCTCAACACTCGAGAGCACGCTTCAGTGACCGGAAGACAAACAGCTTCAGGAGCAGGTGTGGAGGATGTGACAGAGAGCCCTGGGGGGATTCCTGGCCTTGGAGCGCTGGTGGGGACACTGAACGGAAGCACAGTCACGTTGGGCTCAGCATCTTGACCCTGACATCCTGGATAAGCCAAAGGGCTCCCAGGCACGTCAGCCTGGACTTTGAGGTCAGGCCCCACTCCTTGCTAGCTGTGCAATCTTAGGCAAGCCGGTAAATCTCTCTGTGCTCAAGTTTCCCACTTAAAAATGTCAAGGGGCTAATAATTATCCTGGGGTTTGTTGTGAGACTGCACGAGTGAATCACGAAGCCCTCGGCCCAGTGCTTGGCCCAAAGCAAATGCCCCGTCAGTGTTTATTGTCTTCATCCCATCACATCCTCACACCTGCCTAGCTGGGGAATAAAAGAAAAACTGATTTACAAGTCATCTGTGGAATTCCTCCAGTGCAGGTAAGAACTGATACTTGGTTGTTGGGATGTTGGAAATGCCTGGGACTGAGACCAAGGTGACCAAAATTATTTTGCGATGAAGTCAGGAGTTTGACTTTCTGCCGAGTTTGTGAGGGGAAGTGATGGGTGATGAAATTGGGAAGAAGGGCATGGCAGCAGGTGGAAGCGGGGTGGGTCAGTATGTATGCTAGAGGGCTGAACCCAAGGGAAGAGCGCTGTCTCCTGAGAGTGCGCTCCCTGCTGGGTAGGGCGCAGAGGCCTCGCGATCGCGTGGGATCTGAAACTCTGTTCTGCCTCATCCTCCATGTTGGAAGGCACCACCCCACCAGCCTCTCCGCATTCCCTAAATCCTGCTGACAGCTTTGCTGCACACAAACATGGGTGCTTCTGGAACCCTGGGGAGATCAGGCGTGGGGGCTTGTTCTGGGATTGGGGCAAATATGGCACAAACACGAGAACATGTGAGATTCAGAATGTGGGGGAGGCAGGAGACAGGAACAAGGATGACAAGAAGCGGCACAGCCCCCCTCTCCCGGCCCTCCCGGACCCCGTGCCCAACCGTGTTGGCGGACAAGGGTCGTGTCTGTGGTCCCGTCCTGCCCTCGGAGCGGCTCTGTGAAGGAGCCCTTAGTGACTGTTTGCAGGAGGAGAGGAGAGGGTTCTCCCCTCGGGGCCCTGCCTGGCTGCCCACGGTCCCAGCCGAGCCTCCGCCCAGGCCCCGAGTCCTCAGCACGAGGGAGTGGGGGCGAGGTGGCCGTCTGCCGGTGACAAGTCTCCTGGCCGGGAGTGGGAGGTGAGTGCTGGGACTCAGACATCCTCTCCTTACAGAAAAGGCCTGGCGTTCTGCGGTTTCCCTGCAGCTAAGTGTCATCCTGTGTGAACATCGCTTTGGTTTGTGTGCTTGGCCCTGTTTGCCAGGCTCTAGGCTGCTGCTGGCTTCCTGGTGGGCAGTTTCCATCGGCCGGTGCCACAGGGCTCCCTGGTAAGGGTCCAGCTTCTGCGCTCATCCACCCCGGTGACAAACCACATGCTGCCCCCTGAAGCCTCTGGGAGACAGTGCCCCTCTGCCCGGGAATGTCTTGCCGTGGCTTTTCCAAAGCGAGTTCGCGGCCTCTGCCTGTTTACAGGGGGTTTGTTGGGGAGGAGGCTATGCCTCCTGCAGGAAGCCTGCAGACTTCCTCAAGATTATTAGGAATCATCTTTTTATACTTTCTTTTTTCTGTGTTTACATACTGAAGGAAAGGTTAGAATATCGTAAAGCACCACAGCTGGAAGGACCCTTCCCATTCATTCAGTGCACCTGAGACTAGCCCTGAGAAATGCAGCCTGCTAGTGTGGAGTCAACTCTGGAGCCCAGGTCTTGCTCCAAGGTGGTGTTCTTTCCACCTCATCTGACCACCGTGTCTGTAGGTGGCCAAATTAAGACAGGTGGAGACTTGCATTAAAGAGCAAGAGAAAGCCAAGGACCACACACAGTAGTAGGTCACTGACATTTTATGGCCGAAGCACATCATGAAACTGTGTACAAGCCCCTGTATCTTTGCCTTAAAATGCTGACTCAAGAGTCAATGATTGGGAAATGTGAAGACATAGAAGCAAAGAATAGCTGTTGGGCTAAGAAACTGGTAACAATCTATAGACTATAATTCTTTCACATAACAGAATCACAAACCCCCAGTTTCCTGAAAGATATAGATAAAGGCCTGACACACATCCCTAAGTTGTTTTTTAGGAAGCGGAACCCCCCCCCCCCCCCCCGCCCGCAGATGAAAACTGCTGACCACAAGAACATAGACACTGGACTGGTTGAGAGCAGAAGGTTGACCCAGAAGGTTGACAACGCTTGAAATTTCACCTTGTTGCCAACCGATCCAAGAACAGTCCATGAGCTGATCACGCCCTGCTCCTTGAACACAACTCCTTATTACCGCCTCCAGGATGGGTCACATAGTCTTCAGGGCATGAACCCACTGTGGCCTGCTTTACCCAGCAAAGCAATAGAAGCTTTTCTCCTTTCTCTTTTCTCTTTTCTACTTCACCCAAAACTCTATCCCCATGTTTCTATTCAGCACCCGTGAACAGAGGCTGGGTTTTGGCAACAATCATGTGGGGCTAGAGAGGAGCCCTGCATTCTGACTCCTGCTCTGCCATCCAGTTCCCTAGACGACCTTCCACAAGTCACCTTGACTCCTTGGGCCTCAGCTCACCATCTGCCAAACAGGACTATTAATCCCCAAGTTGTTTGCTGATAGGATGGAGGCTAAGATAAATCCAGGAGAAGTGTGGGAAGGGCCCTAGTGAGAATTATTAGCACTTTTTAATCTGGTTGCAAAGACACTGAATTGTGAACTGTGGTTGGTTTTGGATTAGTTTGTGTTCTGATATCCACAGTGATGACCCATATAAGAAGCGATCTGATAAGTGTTCTAGTCCATGGCTGCCAAAATTTTGAATTTCTGTGGACCAAAATAATTACTTCAAAACTAAAATTAGTGACTCCAAAATGTAAATTCAGTGACCAGTATAGAATGGACAGCTTCTTATTTTGCCTGTTGTTGTTCAAACAAACAGACAAAGTAACTCTGAGTAAAAAGCAAACCAACCTGATTCCCATCTGTATCAACCTTGTGTTGTAAAAGAAAGGACATTTTCACATCAAAACTACATAGAAAAGGACGTGCTCTCAGAGAAAAGTATAGTTGACTACAGGAGAAGGGGATCACTTGTGAGACTCCCTGTCGTGGACAACCTACAATGATGGAAGTGCAGTAACCAAGACCCAGCATGACTGAGGTCGTGCTGCCTGGTCAGAAACTGTCCTTGTCATTGAGATCATGCTTTCCTTAAAGAGCCACCCCCCCCCCCCACCTTGAAAAGTGAAGCTCTTGTCAAAACTTGGAGAATCTGGATGGATGTGAAACAATGAGTCAGGGGAAGGGAAAATGACATTTACTCAGCGTGTTTGGTTTCTTGCAAGGCTCCGTGTTCTGATTCCAAAGCCAGTACTGTTTCCATGAAGGTGGGCCACAAACCTTGGCCTGCGGGTGGGATCCTGGCCACCACCTCACTCTGTGAATGCAGCCTGATAAGCCCGCAAACGTGCCTGCTCATTTGCACAGCATCTGTGGCCACTCTGCTCTCCAGCAGTGGACTCACTGCAGCGGGGACCTCGTGGCCTGCAAAGCCTAAAATGTTTACTGTCTAGCCATCTACAGAAGAAGCTTGCTAGCTTCTGCATCATGCCATGCTCCCTTCACCTTGATGTGAGGGTCTACAGAGGCTTGGTGGGAATCGAGGTCACACGCTAAGTAATTCCAGCCAAAGTTCAGCTATTGCTGACAAAGCTGTAATTATCAGTCTGCCTTGAAATACCCAGAGTGCTGCTCCCTTTAGGGGATTCTGCCCTTGCTTTTCAAGTCTCTGGGTGGCAAACAGAAGGAGAAGCAGGGCTCAGGGTGTCCTGAAGGAACTCCAGGTGTGACTGCTCTTGGTGTGAGGAACTGTATGCACACACATGCTGGTCCCAAGCATGCCCTGGTGTGTCTGTCCAGGTGCCTATGATGACCCACTCTTTCTCTCTTAGTTTTTTCCTGTGAGCTGTCTGGTTGCCCAGCTGTGCTTGCTCTCCAGGTTCTAAAGGTGACAGGACTGAGATGGGGTTAGTGTTTTGGGTTGAAAGAACACTGGATTAGAGACGAGGACATCTGTGTTCTAAGCTTGACTCCATAATACCCTGAATGAGACCCTTCACTTGGTCTTACTTTTCCTTTTCTGTGCAATGAAAACATTCATCAGATGGTCTCAAAATTTTTCACTTTTCCATATTAACCTAACTCTGCATCTCACCACTCTGGGGCTAGTAGAGACAACCCACTGATTAGTGACTTTAGTGATAGAAAAATATGGGGCGCGGGAAGGTCTGTTTGACAAACCAACCTCATTATGCATCTGGGCTGTAACCAGTTACTTAATGATCACTGTATGTTGGTCGCCGCGCAGAACAATTTCCAGAAAAGATCTAATCATTTCTCCAGTACGTTCGTGAGGTTGTAGTTATTACTCATTTCATAGATAAGGAACCGAGTTTCTCAGGTGGGATGTAGAGCCAAGATGCATATCCACATCACCTGACTCTAGGTTTTAAACTCTTAACACAATACGGCTTTGTGATCCTTTCTGTGTCCGTGGGCCAGCCTGTACCAAAGCCAGAATTTTCACTAGTGGGAGAGTTGAGGGCTGGGGGAGAACTTGGGGGCATGAGTACAGCTCAGGAGCTGCTCAGATGAATGGAGATGCATCAGCTTGGCCCTGACAGCCCACCTCCGCCCCCACCTGAGTGTCCACTCTGTTGGACACTCATGATGTTTCTGGTGGTTAATCATCTGTGATGTGATATGGACTATCCCCTGCACAGTTACTCCTAATTCCAATGTCTTACCTCCTTTAAGGGGGAATTGGCCCAGCGGGTTGGGAATGGAGTCCTGGAAGAGAAGAAAGAGAAAAGTAAAAAAACAAATGAGGATTTCGTCAGATTGAAACAGCTAGTCTTTTTCTTTTCCACTTTGGTTGCCCTCAAAGTGTTGTATAATTTAGAATTTGTGTTCCATCTGACTCTAAGATTAAAAAAAAAAACCCAGAAACTAATTCACTGACTTAGTTTACATGAGCTTTACAACCTGTTTATCAGAAATAATATTGGAGGATTACTATCCGTGTTTCACAGGTGAGGAACTGGAAGCTGAGAGGTAAAAAGTGTATGGCCATCGGGGATGAGAATTTGCAACTCTTAACTTTCAGTCCAGCGCTTTTTCTTTTCACCACCACATGTACTATTTTTTCCTACTTTGGTTGACATAAGGCAAACAACTGTAGTGTATAAATATATGTGGGCTCTTTTTTTCTATGTTTGATTCAGCAAACAGTGAAAGTATGTTGTAAATATACCTGGGAAGGTACTGTTTCTCCTGTGGTTGGAAATTCTGAATTGATAGAATGACTATGTGCCAAGCATTGTGAAGATACCATAAATGATTAAATTGGGTCCCTGTCCCTGTGGATTTATTGCAGATTTACATTTGACTCTAATATCTAAATACTTATATAACATAAATAAGCATAAATGTATATTATTTATGTTAATGTTCACATATGTTTTCTATTAGTTTTTCTAGAATAAGCATAATTGTATGTATAAATAATCACACAGTTAAGTAAGAGGTTGCTGGCAGACAATCTGATAGCAGATTGTCTCCTGAAGGAGGACCTGCGGGGTTGGGGAATGGAGGGGAAGAAAGGAGGTCTTGCTCACATGCGCTGAGCTAGTAAGCAACAGAAGCAGATGGGCAGTTTTTCACCCCCAAAAATTTTTCAGAAACTGTTCTCTATGTCTGCATCTCCATGTCTTCCCTGTAAATAGGTTAATCAGTGCTATTTTTCTAGATTCTATATGTATGCCTTAATATGCAATATTTGTTTTTCTTTTTCTGACTTACTTCCCTCTGTATAACAGGCCCTATATTCATCCCCCTTGCTGCAACTGACTCAAATGGGGGAAGGAGAGGGCAGGGCAAATTGAGAAAGTAGCACTGACATATACACACACACACTATCATGTGTAAAACAGGTAACTAGCAGGGAGCTGCTGTGTGATACAGGGAGCCCAGCCTGGCACCCCGTGATTGACCTGGAGGGTAGAATAGGGAGCAGGGGAAGAAGGTTCAGGAGGAGGAGATCTATCTACCTATATATATGTATACATGCTAAGTTATTTCAGTTGTGTCTGACTCTTTGTGACCCTATGGACTGTAGCCCACTAGGCTCCTCTGTCCATGGGATTCTCCAAGCAGGAATACTGGAGTGGGTTGCCATGCGCTTCTCAGGGGATCTTCCTGGCCCAGGGATCGAACTTGCACCTCTTATGTCTCCTGCATTGGCAGTCGGGTTCTTCACCACTAATGACACTTGGGAAGCCTATATATATATATATATGTATATATATATATATTTATGACTGATTCTCATTGATATACAGCAGAGACCACCACAGCATTGTAAAGCAATTATCTTCCAGTAAAACAAACAAAAAAAAAAATAAATGAAGTTAAAACAATTCTTCAGAGACTAGTTTTCCCACCCTTGGGCTCTCTCCCCCTTTCCCCCACCTCAACCTTGGAGACACCCCTCATTGTCCTGCCAATAAGGAATGAAGTGTCCTATCTTATTTATCTTTTGACCTACTCTGGTCGAGATCTCCTATAGTGTATTGGATTGAGATATTAATAAAGACCTAAAAAAATGTGAGCATTTACATGGATGAAAACAACTTCTCAGCGTCTAATGGGGCAGGAAGTTAGTTGCTGCCTGCGCCTTATTTTCTTATTGTTGTGTCGGAACACCTAGGACCATCTGGAGTTCTCTTTTTATCCTGCCACTGCTCTAGGGACTCTGCCCTTCACCTTCCACTCTCTCTCGGCCCTTCTGGTCAGTGACTCTCCCCTCCAGCCCAAGCGGATGGTACGGAGTTGAGGAGGTGTCCTGAGGCATAGCCCCGCAGAGCACTGGTCTAGAGGAGGAAGTCAGGATAAACTCAGGAGCGTCAGCTTATCAGGGCAAAAGAAACGAACTTGGCTTGAAAGGTCCTTTCCTCTTTGCTCCCATAGTCTATGACTTTATTGCCTCGGCTGACAGCGCTTAACCTAGTTAACAGCGCTGTAGCTCTGTGGTCTCTCAGGGACACATACAGTTCAAAGGAAAATCTGATGTCATAGATTCCCCTCCTGGTTGCCTCCTGAGACAACAAACAGCCTTTCATAAGTTAATAAACATCTGGCTTACTGCCAAACATGTCCGTCTATTAGTGCGATGTGCACACACGTGAAGAAAAACATCTACGTGTAAGTGTGGTGCTAAGACGGTGGACTTCACTGGCTGCCCTGGAACATACCCAGGGACAAGCAGAGAATGCCAGAGCAACAACCCCAGGGGAGCCATCACGGTGGCTGCTGCCAGTTGGGAAATGCCAGAGAACTGTACATTCGGCACAGGTCAAGTGGGCACCGAGTGTATGCCAGGCTCTAAGTCACTGGAAGACACCCTGCGGATTTTATGGCTCAATCATTAAAGCAGTCGTTCAGAGCACACAGATAAATGTAAAACTAGAATTGCGAGTTGTGGCAAGAGCTACGAGGGAGAGAGGCAGCATGTTTCCAGATAGCACGTGAACATGTTACGAATGTGTACGAATCACTTGGGGAGCTGTTAAAATGAACATTCTGATTCAGCAGGTGTGGGTGGAGCCTGAGAGTCTATTTCTGATAAGCTCTCAGGTGACAGCAGATCTCCTGGCCCACGGAACACAATTTGAGTAGCAAGGATGTAAGACATACTATCTGAGAAGAGATCTAATTTACGTGGGGAGTCCGGGTTGGTGAGATGGGGGTGTGGTCGTTTGAAGGCTTTCTGGTTTTCTAGCTTCAGACACGGGATGTCAAAAACAAAGTGTCATAGTACAGGGAAGAATCCTGTTGCTTAAACCTTAGCCCAGGACCCATGGCATCCAAGACAGAAGTGTGACTATTGCTGCCTTGACGAGCTCCTAGGATGAGAACAGGTCTCCATAGCTTCCCTTAGCTACCCACAGGAGACAGGATCAAAGAGTCAGGGCCAGAGGGGAACCAAGGCATCGTTTAGTCCATCAAGCCAATTTTTACAGACAAGGAGACTGAGATACTCGTGAGTTGGTGGCAGATCCTAGAATGAAACTCTCCAGTGCTCTTTCTGTGCCCCAAGAGAGATGCAGTCTTCAGAAGCCAAGGATAGACCAACTCATTCTCCTTGCCCCCCTCCCCCCATGCGCCCTACTGTTAGTAGTCTTTGCGTTTGGAGGTGGAGAAGTAGGGTATAAAGAGAGGACAAATTAAATTTTGTTGAGGACCCTCTATGCCCTGACACTACACTGAGTGCTGTCCATTTATCTACTCCTCTTTAGTGAGGTACCTCCCAGTCTAAGAATTCTTTCCCAAACCTGGCCTGGGGATCTGGGTCTTGGCTGGAGAAATGTGAACCACCATGCTTAGCAACTTGGCTTTGAGGTAAATAGTAAACAGGCTAGACGCAGACAGAGGCAAATGGGCCCTCCCAGGTTGTCATTCTCAGCTCCACTGAGTAGCTCCCTCATAGCTCAGCTGGTAAAGAATCCACCTGCAATGCAGGACACCCTGGTTCGATTCCTGGGTCGGTAAGATCTGCTGGAGAAGGGTCAGGCTACCCACTCCAGTATTCTGGCCTGGAGAATTCCATGGACTATACAGTCCCTGGGTTTGCAGTGAGTCGGACGCGACTAAGCGACTTTTACTTTCACTGGAGTAACTCAGGAAACTTGGTTTCCATGGATACCAACCACTACACTTCCTCAAGTATGCTTCTCTCTCTCTCTCTCTTTTTCAGACTCTGAGTATCTCATGGGTATCCTCAACAATGTTTCTGTGTATGCAGGGAGGAACCCTCCCTACATAAATACCTTTTTGTTCCCAGGTGAAATGAGCTGTTCCAGTCATCTTTTCTGCCTAGGACTCTGTTTTCCCATTTCCTTTAATCACTGTGATTGCAAGGCTAATAATCCCTCCCTCCGCTGGATTATTGACATAATAAGATATTATACATAAAGTTATGGACATTGTAAGATATTATGCATAAATAGCAAGTGCTTGGGAATGATGGCTATTTTGGTTACCCTCTTAATCCTAACCAAGTGTGTAATCTGTTTCAATACCTTTAAAGCTTCATTTCTTTTCACAGAGCAATCCTGTGCAGGGAAATCAGCTCCTAAATCTACTTTGACAAAAGATGCCCTCTCTTTTTGAAAATGGCCAAAGACAACTGATGTTTGGACTATGCCAGGTGGCCTCACATCTTGTAAGATGGGTCATGGAGACCTTTACCAGGAATGTCTCTCTTATTTTTGAACTAATGTGATTAAGCACTTAATGAGGGTACTTCAGAGGGGACGACAGAGGATGAGGTGGTTGGGTGGCACCACTGACTCAATGGACATGAGTTTGAGCAAGCTCCAGGAGTTGATGATGGACAGAGAAGCCTGGTGTGCTGCAGTCCATGGGGTTGCAAAGAGTCGGACCAGACTGAGCAAATGAACTGACTGACTGAGGGTACTGAATCATCAGGGGCTAAATGCTTTACATGCATTGTCTTATTTTATCTTTACCCCAAGACTTAGTGATTGACTGAGACTTAGAGAAACAGCTTAGTGGCTATAGAAGGTCCCTTCGATGGTGAATAGGAGGGAAAGGATTCATAACGGGGCATGTTGACTTCAAAGGCAATGCTCTTCAATCCCAAGCCATGTCGCCCCTCTAGGGTAGGGCAGGATGCAACTGGGGCAGGAAATTCTCTTGAGACTCCATGAGAAAGTGGATTGAGGTACTAGAAAAATTTTCCTTGGTAGCCTTGATTTTGCTAATGTTAG